GTGGGATTTGGATTTGTTTCATTTGTTGGAGCCATGTTTTTGAAGGAAACTTGACAGGAAAAATGCAATCAAAGTCGAAACTGAAACAAACGAGAATTGCAATCGAGAGCAAATTGCAACGAGGATTCCAGATGAGAATTGGAATGTGAATTAAACAGAGGAAGAACAAATGTAACGGAATTTGAAAAAGAGAAGAGCACATATTGCTCTGATACCATGTCAAAGTTGTAATTGAGCAGTTGAGAACTCCATTAATGGAGCTTATGCTAACAATTGAGGATGATACAGAAACATGAAGAAGATGGACGAGATCACAATTTGGGAAAAGAAAAACTAAACTCCAATTCCTCATTCTTCCTGTATTTATACACATGTATGAAAAGATGGAAAATATCTACACCATGTGACAACTAATCATCTAACTAATTGTAACAAACTTTCTACAACTGTCACTTTAACTAATCTACATATGTCAATTACATATAATTAGTTAGGGCCTAATTAATCTCAACAGACTTCACCACCACTAAGGTACGATTCCGAGAATTGGAACGAACAAACAGAACAAGCTAGAGTAAAGACTGAACGAAATCGGAAATTCTGGTTTCTCTATGCTTTCAAGAACTATATGGTTAGAGTCCGTTTCTTCCTCTCTAATGCTAGTTAAGTTTCAATATTTTCTCCAATCTTTTTCCTCTCTAATCCTAGCTCACCTCCCCTTTTTACAGAATGAGAGTATTTATAGAGGGAGAATGGAATCGATATGGGGAAAAACGGGCAGATTTGGATGACATTTTAAATTTGAAATTCAAATTTTGCCAGGTTGAATTAGTACGACTTTCCAACGGAATTGAGTGGAGGATCGTTGATTTGACGAGCAAGGACAAAGGAGCAACACGATTGAGACACCTGGATGTTGAAGGATGATTTTTGAAAATGGAGAGGTCACAGGAGAGAGGGAGGATTGGACACGCACGAGTGAGCTGGGCTGCTAGTCCACGATTCGGGTTTGATTTGAGTTTTGGCGAATTATTTCTCTAATTTTTTAGGTTATGCTCATTGTATTGAGGAAGAAGACGTGAGTACAGGGGTTGGGGGTACTGTTTTGGAGTGAGTTTGGACTAGGGAGAAATAAAGAATTTGGGCTTAGATGGTATTAAGTTGTTGCTGAAAGATTGGGCTGACAATTGGGAATGAGTATTGGGCTCTTGGTGAGCTGCTGAAATGAAAAGGGGTTGCTGGAAATTATTGAATGAATGGCCCAACTTGGTCTTTTAAAATAAATAGGCTAGAATTGAATTTGAGCTTTGGCCAAATGAATTTAAATTATAGCCAATTGGAGATTAAAAATGTAGCCAAACTTAATCAATTAGGATAAGCTCGGCTAGTAATTAAATAAGACAAATTGATATAATTAACTAACGAGCTTCTTAATCTTAACAAGATAAAATAATTAACTTAATTATAAACTAATTAACTCAAAATATAAGTTATTAATTAATTAAACTAAATAACCAAATATTTAAATAAAACTGAAATCTTTTTGAGACAATTTTCGAACATTCATAAAATATACTAATTAGACACATAATTATATAAAATATCATATTTATTATTTTAAAATTTATAAAAATGATAAAATTACTTAAAATGACTTGAAAAACATTTTGAATTTTATAAAGTCAATTATTTCAGTTCGTTTGGAATTGAGGAAGCTCGATGATTAATTTATATTGTGGAAGTCCAAAATTGGGTGTCAACAATACACATACATCGAAATAATCATCCCAAACGGGAAAATAGGGACCAACTTGTTGTATTTTGGTCATCACAACAAAGTCTTGGTCAGTTTTCGATCACCATATAAAACGAGGTCCCTTTATGCAATAAAGAGAATCAAATAAAACCAAATCATGGACAAATGTCGAAACAGTTGCAAATGAGGCCATGCTTATGGTAAATCGTGTATAAAGAAAAGACTCCAACTAAATGAAGCTCTTACATTATTTTAAAAAAAAAACACACAAAATCTGAATTTCTGACGTTAATCAAATTGCAGATATTTACAATCGTGCAAAAGCTAATATTAGTTAATCATAAACTAACTAAAGTAAATAAGTAATACTAAAAAGTAAAACCTAAGGGCTCGTTTGGTGTGAGGTATAATAACAAATAGTCCCGGGATTAAATTATAGTACCGCTTATTTTGTTGTTTGGTTGGCAAGTTCGGGATAACTTATCCCGGGATTAATAATTAGTACCGGGATAAGTTATCCCTTCTCCTTGGGTGGTATAGTAATCCCGGGATAACTTATCCCGGGATAAAATAGGTAAATGACAAAAATGTCTCTTTCAACCCTTTTGTTATATCACTTTTTACATTAATGAAGGGCATTTTTGTAAACAAATAAATTGTTCTTAAAATTTATTATTTTGAATACAACAAACCAAACACTCAATAAAAAATAATCCCAACACAACTTATCCCATCATAACTAATCCCAACATAACTTATCCCAACATAACTTATCCCATCATAACTCATTTTCAAACCAAACGACCCCTAAAGGTTAAATAACTAAAAGTAGAGAGGAGAGTTAACTGCTAAGTAGTCTTAATTATTGCGTAAAGTTTTTATATTTAGTCTAATATACTACTAATTATATTAATATTTTTTGTTTAATATATTATATATATGTATAACTAAAAATTAAAATAGTAAATTATTATATTCTTAATGGGTTATCGGTTACCCCAATAACCCAATATTAAAAAATCAATAACGAACTCATAACCCGATAATTTTTTTTGTAAAATCATTAAATAATTGTTAACCCAATAACAATAAACCAATAACACTTTTTCAGTTTGATTTATCGATCGATTTGATTTTTGCACACCTCTGCTCAGAGATTAGACTAAAACACACGTAAAATCTCTACTTAGAGATGCCCAATCATTATTCCATGGACACAGGACCATCAATGCACGTCGCCGTTTAAGACTTTAATTTCTTATTTTGTTGCAGATACCATGAAATTCTATGCATTAGTAATGTAATGTGTTTTAATACATGCATTAACATTATTAAAGACACAATTATCCTTAGTGGCGTACGTAAAAATTTCTGAAAGTGGTGTCGTCACTTAAAGAAAGAACAAATTAGAGAAAAGATCAACTAATTTTTGAACATTAGAATTTTAGATTTAGGATTAATAGTCCTGTTTGACTAAACTTCTAAAATCAAACTTATTGTAAAAAGTTTTTATTTCCAAAAAAATTTGGCGAGAAGTGGTTTATCTTGACTAATAAATTTATAAAATATTTTTTTGAAATAATTAGTGTCTGGCCAAGTAAATAATGTATTTTTCTCAAAAAATTGCTTTCAGACCAAAGCTATTTTTTTAGATATTGAAAAACAGTATTTGCTACTCCCGAAACACACTTATTTTTCTTCAAAAGCTTGACTAAATACCTTATTTTTTAAAAATAAACATTTTTGACATATAAAAACTTGACCAAACATGCTATAATACAGTTCAAACTTCTGGTAAAGTAATTTAACATCTAAACATATGCAAAAATGAATCTTAATTGATTGGTTTGTTTAACTTGAAGAGCTCATAGGGGAGGCTTTATGGGTTTCGAATGACACTTTAAAATAAAGTTATATTTCTTGGCAAGTGATGGTGCCCACATTAACAAAGCACTTAACCAACAAGCCAACAGCCATCCAATAAAAAACCTTTATCTTTTCATTTTCTCCTATTGTTAAATAAATAAAGAGAGAAATTGATCGTACAAACTTAATTAGAACTTTAAACTTGTCATTTCCTAAATTTAATTTCATTAATTTTCCTTTTTTAAACTAAGTAATATCTCCTTTTTCATTATATTTTACATTTTCATATATATTATTCCCTCCATTCCATTTTATGTGGCAATATTTGACCAGGCACAAAGCTTAAGAAATAAATGAAGACTTTGAAATGTTTATCAAATTGTCATTTAAAAAGTAAACTCACTTTTCTCTCTCATCATAATGTATTGGAGTATTATTTTAAAATTAAGTGAGACCAACAAGAATAAAAGAAGAATTGTACCTTTAGATACTTATCATATAAGAAAATGTGACATTTTTTTTTGAAACTGACCAAAAAGGAAATGGTGCCACATAAAATGGGACGGAGGGAGTAATAGTTTTTATCTTCATAAGTTATATTTCCATTATCTCTATTAACTCCTCATGATAACCCGACGGAGGGAGTAATAGTTTTTATCTTCATAAGTTATATTTCCATTATCTCTATTAATTCCTCATGATAACCCCCAAATTTAAATGTATAAACTTATGATAACTTATTGTGTTTCTCAACCCTTTTTCCCTATTTGATAACTAATTATGCAGTAAATTATTATGCTACCATGTTTCTATAAAAGCAACAGATCTCAATTTCAAGTCCTGGGTCCCTGTTTGGATCTCCTTATCTATTTTTCCATAACAAGAAAAGCTAGCATTCCTCTTCTTTGAGAAAAGTTAAAGATACCATTATACCAAGGAAATTGAAATCATGCAGATCAACCAAAATTTCGATATTCAAACACCACAAGGGTTCGACAAAATAAGGTCGAAGGTGGAAATTGAAAAAGTAACACAATATCTAGAATGAACAAAACTTTAAATATTCGACAGGATAAGAAAATGGTTAAGGAACACAAAAGTTCTTCGAATTCCCGAGTATCTTCTAATCAATCTAGGGGGGAGGGGACACATTAACTCTTCCATCTTCAAAGGTCTTGCACGCTCAAACCTACATATCAAAATATACTCGAAACAATGAGATTCATGATCATCAATAAGTAGCAACTATAGGACTATAAAACTAGTCAACTGGAACAGCATAGCTAAAGTGAAAGCACCAAAAGATAAGTAAACCTGGAGGAAGTGACTGCTTCAACTTGTCAGCCTTCTCAAAGTCGGACACACACAGTGTATACAGGTACTTGGAGCAGCGAACCTTGAACTTAACCATATCCTTGTTCTTCTTGATCTTGACAGATCGTGCATCCTTCCTCCTTGCTGTTAGGAGAAAATCCTTGATCTCATGGATTTGCTTCGGCTGAAACCAATAAAAAAAGGTTCAGTTAAGCAGTCATCTCTCCCACAAGGATAAAATTTTGCACAAAATAGTCCTAATCAAGTTCCCATACACAACCCTCAACAAATCAAATGGCTATGCACATTAAACATTTGTCTGATTAGCAAGTAAGAACTAATGTATGTAGGATAAAGCGAGGAAAAAGAAAACAAGGAATCACATTCATCAAGATATAAGCTATAATCAAATTATTAAACTTCATTTCTTTTACCAATTCAAGACCTACTAGCAACTAGAAGAAAAGTAGTTTCATCCACATTCCCCCAACTGCTCAACATATACCAAAATTATCTAACAATGCACACATAGGCAGAGAAGTACGAGAGTCAAGACAAGAAAATAACTCTATTCCTGGCATCAAGTAGATGCATAATAGTTACAAAGGTAAAGTAGCAAAACAGTCAGCTCTTACATTGCTAGTTAAGAGTCTGGGAGCTGACAAAGTTCAGAAAGAAATCAGGGAACCTAGAGGGGATAATATCCAGTTGCTTCAGTAGCAACTAAAAGAGGGCTAAAATCTTGGACTAAATAACACTTCATGTATTCAATACATGAAGCACCACTAAAAGAATCTAATATATCCACATCATGTATTCAATACATGAAGACTCTTTTATCATAACAGAAAATTCTTAACTCAGTGGACAATAAATAAGCATGTCATCATGCCTTTTCCACTTAGATTTCTGTCAGCAAAAGCAGAGACCTTTCCCACTTAGATACCCCATGCTTTTGCAAAACAAGATCCTAACCAATCCATCAGCACCTAAGATCTAATCACAAGGTCAGAGTCCAGAGGCTCGAGAATAGCTTTACTATTCACAAAAAAAGTCCCAGAAAATAACACTTCAAGCACCACCAAAAGAATCTAATATCTCCCATACATCAGGACTGTTGTTTTCACAACAGAAAACTCCTAGAAGTTACCTCACAGTTCAAAACTCAACGAATAACGAGCCTCCTCTCATCCCTCCACCACTTAAGAGACACTACACTTTTGGCCACAAACCAGTTTCAACCACAAAACTCACTCATCACCACCTAAGGTCTTACCACTTAGACACTATACTTCCAGCCACAAACCTGCATCAACCACTAAACTCACACATCACCACCTAAGCTCTTACCACTAAATCAAACCCTTCAACACTCAAGCTTAGCTTTATTATTCACAAAAAATCTCCCAGAGAAGTACTAATTTCAAAAGCACCTAAAACAAAATTAGGTTACATCTGAAAAACTAACACTTGAACAAACCCAAAAAACAGAGAAAAAACAAAACTTAAATCACATAAAACCTAATAATTAACAAATCCCATCCCAAAAGCCTCAAGATTTACCTCAAACAACACAAACTAGTTTTAAAAAAACTACAACAAAACATTTAATCATCAAAAACTCATCTAAGAAACAAAACTTCACAACAAAATGACTAAGCATAGTAAATTCAACAATGTAAAACACAAAAAGAAGACAAACCCACCATGATTAGGTCTTCAAATTAGAGTTTTGCTGCTGCTGCTGCTGCTGAAGGAGAAGACAAATGGAATAACAAAGAGGCGGTAACTATATAAATGGGATCGCTAAAAAAAACCTAATTTGTTCACTTTACAATTTTACCCCTAACCCGGAACCGGTACCGGAACCGGAACCGAAACCGAAACCGAACCGGCCCAGCCCATTAAGATCCCGGCAGGCCCGGCACAATTATCCACCTTCCTTACAGGCCTTAACTAGCCGTTGGGCAACGGCCCAATAACGGATATATTTTCTTTCCATATAACTTTGAAAAACTACACTTTTAGTCCCAAAATCCCAACTATAAATACCCAAAAAAGTTCATTTTTTGTCACTCACTTTCTCTCTCTCAAATCATCTCTCAAGTTGTTTGCTATTCGACGGCTATCTGGTTTTGACTTGATACGACAATTGTGGTAAACTCGTTCCATCTCTTAATTTACATATTGAATTTGTTAGTGCATTATGTCTTCGAGTAAAGGTATGTTTAAGGGAGGGCGTAAGAATAAAGACAAGTCATCTATTTCTATTAATCAAAAACTTCCTCGTAAGTCTGAAGGTGATTCTTTAGAGGATGGTGAAGATTGTATGCATGATAATAATAATCGCGAAAGTGTATCGAGTGAGGAGGAAGAATCTAAGGATGTTTCTAGTATGGAAAAAACTATTGAAGATGATTCAAATAATAAAAAATTATTTGGTGATAGAAATAAATATAAAAAAGAAATTATAAAATCAATAGCTAGTGAAAAACATCTTGATTTTACTTCTCCTAAAGATTTTAATGCATATATCAATAGATTATATTCTAATTGTTTGATTAACAGTATTCCTAGAATAACTAGTTTAAATGATGTTATGAATTTTTATACACAATATCAACAATATTTACGTGATTTATTTTCAAAACTTGATTGTAGAGTTTCTCTTGCACTTGATATTCGTAGTGATGTTCGTAACTTAGATTATTTAACTGTTACATGTCATTGGATAAATTCTGATTGGATATTGGAAAATCGTATTATTGCTTGTCGTTTTATTGAAGATAAAAATAATAGTCCTTTTATTATTACATCTATTCGAGATATTTTGACTTTTTTTGGTCTTAATGATAAAATTATGTGTATTTCTTTTAATAATAATTTTAATGATATTTCAACTTTAGAAATACAATCTGTACCACCTTTAAATGGAAATTTTCATGTTAAATGTCTATGTGAAATTTTTAATTTAATTGTACATGATATAATTGATCTTTTTAGTTCTTATATTACCAAAATTAGAGGAGCAATAACATTTATTTTTCAAAATAAATCAAAAACAAGAATTAAAAAATTTATGAAAAATTGCAATGATTTTAACCTTAAACCAAAAAAAATATCAATAGATATTTCTACAAATTGGAATTCTTTATACATTATGTTAAATGTTGCATATAAATATAGGGAGCCAATTTCTGTTACATATAATAATTATATTGAAAATTCTGCTAATTTTTTATTTGATTCAGATTGGGATATTATTAAAGTTATTGTCAAAATTTTATTAAAATTTCATAATGTTATTAAAGAATTTTTTAGTAATTGTGATCCTAATATTTGTGGCATTTTAAGACATATTGCTGATTTTGCTTATTTACTTTCTAAATATAAGGATAATGAAATTTATAAAGACTTTATTATTCCTATAAAAGAAAAAATCAAAAAATATTTTATTCCTATGCCGCCTATTTTTCAAATTTCTGCTGTATTAAATCCTAATATAAAATTAATTTATGCAAAAGGATATACAGGAATATTATATCAATTTTTAGAAATTGGTGAGGAAGAAAAACCAGATTTGGAAAGTTTATTTTCAAATACAGAAGCATTATTTAATTATTATCAGCAATTAATAGATGATGAAAAATTAAATAATTCTAGTGAAGAAGAAGAAGATGATGATGATTTTATGGAAAATTTAATAGGTATAGGTAAAATAAGAGAGCTTGATTCTTATGTGAGGCAACACGGTGAATCGTCTGATATTAGTATTTTGCAGAGGTGGAAGGATAGATCAAAATTTACACGTGTTATTGCGAAAATGGCTCGGGATGTGTTAAGTGTTCCAGTTGTTTCAACGCGGATTTTGATTGGTGACAACAACCGGTCATTATTTAGGAAGACAACGGAAATGGCAGTATGTGTTGAAGATTGGATTAAAACAGAGAGAAGAAAACAATATGTAGAAAAAACGGAAGACGAAGAAGAAGTTGAAGATGTCATGATAATGTCGGATGATGATGAAAGTGATAATCAAGATTATCCAACTCCAATTAATCCTTCTTATATTGATATTAAGGACATAATTAATATTTTTAGATAAAATTGATCAATAAATTCATCTATTGTATTTAGAAATTTCTATTATTTTTTTGTATTAAAACTTCATGAGAGTGGAACCTCTAGACTCTTGTTGAAATTTGCAAGTCTAAGTTCAGAAATCAAAGTGATTAACTTTCAATTTTGTATAAATTTTGAATATTTTAAATACCAAAAATTATCTTGTTGAAATTTGCAAGTTTTTTAGTTCTATTCATACAAATTTTTGTATAAAATTTGAATATTTTAAATACCAAAAATTATCCTTAAATAAATTATTAAGTTGCAAGTTTGCATTCGAAGAAAAAAGATATTTTTAGAAGTTGATATGTTGTGAATATATTCAACCCTCTCTCTCACTCCAAGTTTGCGTTCGAATAACAAAGATCATTGACCTCTCGATCTTCATGAGATAAAATTAAAATCTATATAACTTTTGAAACTATATGCAAATTCAGAATACACGGAGTAACTCTATTAAAAATCCGAGATCTGATTAACGATGAATAGTTAAATCCTCTTACCACTCTCATAGGTGCCAAAAATTAAAAAAAATAAAAAATCCCTTGTAGCCAAGATATCAACTGAAGTAGTTTTAAACTAAGAAATTGTACAAGACTGCAACTGCATTAATAACAAACAAGAAGTCGATGGAACTACCATTCTAGGAAAGAGTACTGTACTCAAAGTGTGTCGCGCCTAGTGTTTAAAAGCATTTTCGATGAACAACAGAAGGGCCACTCTCGTCGTAATCAGCTTTGGTTATGTGCTGGTTTTGAGGGAAGACAACTTTGGCAAGTATAGCACCACCAATCCATGCTGAATATGAAGTCAAGTTCTCTGGCATATATTCTGGAGGCTGTAAAGAATATCACAAAAACAAAATTCAATAAGTAGCTTATGACATCGCGCTCAATTAGAGAAGCAACGTGGTAGTTCCTGATTCGGGATTAAGGAAAAATTCGCACTACCTTCTCTCTATTGGTTGAGGGACTTGTATCATAGGTTACAAGTTCGAGCCTTGTGCTAAGCTAACTAAGTCTACTATTTAAATGGAGAAGGGTAGAGGAGTGGTTGGCCTAAAGGGTTGGCTCCAGACAGATTTCTCGGTTATTAAAAACAAAATCAATCCATTTTCCTCTAAGTTGGGAGTTCTCACAATGACTTGGGCTGACAATCCTAAGTCGCTTTTATGATGGAAAGATGAAAGCGGTAGGGTATTGTGACAAGGGGCACAAATATGGCAAAGAGGCAAAAAGAACCTAAGCTGTCAACCAAGGATTTACAAGAAAGATACCTTTACTAGCGAAGGACGAACTGCTGATGAGCAAAGGGTAGCTTCTCTCTGAAACCGTTCCTCAAACCCTGCAACCATGAGCAACACAAAAGTTTAATTTATTTTGTAATGGTAACAGTATATTCATCAGCACAAATGCTATGCTGGTAGACAAATTTACAAATATCCAAAGAGTTATCTATCCTGGTCTACGTAAGGACTCTAAGAACTGTAATATTGACTCTGTTTCAACTACAAAAAAGTTCTTAAAAGACACGTAGCAGTTCGTCTTCAAAGCACCTAGCATTTCTCTCCAAACGCTCCACCATATACAAGTTTCATTCACATGTATGTTAGCCCACAAGACCCAAGGAACACCAGAGTCTAGACTTTACAAATGGCCAGTGTAAACTTCAGAAGGAAGGAGGCAATTTGAGCATGACCAATCCATCCGTGCCAACTGACTGATTGAGGGTCTCTCGATCCATTCCCCTCTTCACCTTACACTCATTCGTGATATATGTTAGCTTAAGTAGTGATGGGGAGGAGGAACAAATTTTACTTCTCTTCAATGTGATGCTCCAAACTGATCTACCTCAAGTTACAATTATTGTTGTTGTGTTCTTGTTGTTATTGATAAAAGTATACTACACCGATATAGCTATGTTATTTATTATTTTATAAAACCAGCTCTTTCTAATTTGTTAATAACGGTGGTGTCTAGACAACCTTGCACACTCCTTGACTGATACAACTAGCAGTCTTTCACAGACCAAAAACACAAGTGTCGATGCAAACCTATCCCACCAAGGCTGAAGCATATAGGTTCTCACTTAGTGTTGAAGCAGAGATTCAAACCGGGACATTTCCAAGTTATTACTCATGTGTCTCGACCTCTAAGCTATCCATTTTGGGACTTACCAATGCTAGTTCATAAACAAGTCGATCAGCTCTTCCCGCTAGTCATTTGGGTCATTTTAATGTGCAAGCTATAAATCTAAACCAGTATGGTAAGAAAAGATAGTAAGATCAGAAGAGGATTTGTGTCCTGGAACTTGGAAGAAATATTACCAATCAAAGGGGAGAAATAACCCCTCTGATCAACGGCACACTCATTAGCATTTCAATATTTTGTTTTATCATCACGATGTTGGCATTGATTAAGAATATTACAGGAATAGACAAACTTCCTAGTTAGGAGAAGAGGAAGGGAGATATTGACACTGCCTTAATGTTTCACTCGGTGTTTGTCAAACAGTTGCTGTAGCCATCAAGCATATAAAGCACAAGCCAATCAATGAAGGATTCTTGTTGATGAGTGCTACTTATGGTCCAATAGCTAAATATCGGCTCACCAGACCTCTTCTAGTCTCCCAAGGTATATTGGAAATACATTCACGTTCAATGGATTGGACTTGGGCCAGTAGATTTTCTATAGTGAAATTCACTGACAAGATTGTCATAGCGAGCTGCTTAGGCAATTGATGGGAAAATACTTAATATCATCCCCCACCCCACCTAAACCAAACCAAGCATAGAAAGAAATGCTGACGGGATAATCTACATAAAAGAAGGCTAGGGCATCGGAGAATTTGAGGATGACTATCCACCTACACTATGATTGGCAAAGGGTTTAAAGAGGAAAAGAAAAGCAACCCAATCTCAAATGTATCAGTAGATAAATATTGAAAGCTTGCCAAACAAAATACCAATAACGGAACATTAAAAAGAAATAGCACACTTCCCACTGGGAAGTTCTCAGTTGCATTAATTTGAACAAGAAAAGGACTGTCTGTAATAAAAGCATTTCAAATACATACAATAAAATTGAACTATTTGAGATAAAACCAACCAAAGAGCAAACAAGAAGAAAAGTTTTAGTAACAAACAGACGTGAAGAAATACAGGAAAATATGAGCATTTGTCAATCATATTCTACAAAACAAAGAGATGAACAAAACTGACCGGTTAAAGTAGCAGTGCCACCACAAAGTACTGTGTTCTCTAGCAGCTGGCGATGATTTTCAGATGACACAGACGAAATACTATGAACAAGCTGCTCAACTATTCCATGAGTATCATTACCCAATATAGATGGTTGAAACAATGCCTCTCCAACAGTGTATCTTTCTTTTCCAATTGTGATCACCTAAATCACAAAAAATGAAATGCGATTCATTCAGACATAAACAGTTCTACATGCTAGATAAGGATGACATAACGACAATAAACGAAAGCCTGCAAGAACTTTTTTTTATCAAAACCACTAAACTGGAATACACAATGATCTCAAAATACAACTCCCCTTACTGCTATTAATGTAAGATGTTTAGTGGAATGCAAAAAGCTCAGCCTTTAGTTTCTATCTTATGATATCTATGTAGTTCTCTAATATTCAAGGATCATCATTCACATTGATGGTAAGACCCCATTTTCTCAATCTTTTCTAACTTTCCTGTATAGGCTTCCCTTGTTCCTGAAAATGAGTATTGCACATGGCAGCACTCTTTGGAACCCTAACTGGATAACTTCTGCTATTCCATAGAAAAAAGCAGAGAAAACATCTAAGATCAATCCTTATAATTTTTAAAATCAAATCAGTCTCCAACCTCATAATGGGGCAGCGAAAGACATTAATCCTAGAAATGTTAAAATCAGATCAGTCTTCAACCTCATAATGGGTCACCAGAAGAATTCACAAATGGAGGTTTTAAGCCTCTTTGCTGGAACAAGACAATCAGAAACGAGAGTTCAAAGGCAGTAATTCACTGGCTTGTTCTACACCACAATGCCCTTTAGAGAAATCAAATGAAGGATTTCTTTCAGCGGTTTGAAAACAAAAGCTTATGTTTACCTTAAGAAACTAGAATAAGTTCTAGAAATTAAAGATGTATTAAAATACAACCAACTGGTTTTCTATCAACTTCTTATAATGGTGCCTTATAAGCTGAAATGTAGTGCACAAAAACCTGGCCATCAGGCAGAGTATGTTTCTCTTCCAGGCATGAGTGTTGAAGCTTCTCATAGGCAATATCATCATCAGCACAGCATGCATACTGTTCTTTCAATTTTTCAACATCAGAAATATTGAGTTTCACTGTGGGATTTGATTTACTAAGCTCATCTGCTAGTAGCTTTGTCAAATCCAAACCCCCAACTTCCAACCTTCTTGATGCTATGTGCTGAACAGCACCCTCAATGACAGGTGCAATATCTAAAAGGTCATAAAAAAGACAACCGGAAGAACTCTGAGAAATCAACACAGATCAGAGAAAAAACAAGGAAAATTAAAGCAACATTTCCAAAACAGAATACAAACAGTTTAACTTTAGAAGAAAAGAAGCACACGAAAAAAAACTTGAATATTCATTATAGCAAAATAAGCAGAAGTCATATTTCTGATAGCAACTAGAGCGAAATCAATTCTCACAGTTCCTTGATCTGAGGCAAGAAAAGAAAGCATCATTGGTCTGCCCATTCCATATGAATAGAGGCTAAGAGATTCTTTTCTTTCTGCCCATTTATTTTTAAAATGTAAGCATCAAAAGGGTACCAACCCTTAGTAGTGATGAGTGCTAAAGATATTTATCCTACTGCTCAAATTTTCTCAAAAGCAAAATTGTGTTACAATGAGCTCTCATATTACAATACTTCTAAACTCAAATGATGAAGTCTCTAATTATACGAAAGAATATGTAGCATATATATGCAACAGTGATATTACAACATTGCAAGCTAATATCCACCTTGTAGAAGACCAGATCCAACTTTTTAAGATGCAAGAAGACGAATAGAAAGTATTCAAGGTCATGAGAATTATCATGTTCTGTACAGATGTGCTGTCCACCAGAACACACTCTTCTCTTGAATATATGTCGAGAAAAAAAAACTGGGGCAATAGTGGTGAACATGGCCAAAGAAGGTGGAAACACAAGGTGGACATGTGCATTGAACAGGAAGAAATGAGGTATCGCCTCTTTTTGTCTTCAAGACAACTTGTTAGCTGCAGTTCTCAATATTTTACTTGTGCACATCCAGTCAACTAGAGCTAAAATCAGGCTTCTACAACCATTGATCTCTTTCTTTACACTCTTCTTGTGGATATGCTTCTCATCAATGGAGATTGCACCTACCCACGTGCCCCTAATACCTCTAAGCAAAGTGATAAACCATCCCAGGTACTGGTTCTTTGTAAATATTACCTCGGTCAGGAAAGCCAGTAGCTTGAAACCTTTCATGAGATACCCTTCTCTTTTTCTAGAGCTCATATTTAAGGTTAGTGCTTTTAGTGGATGCATGTGTGGTGCCGTCCTTGAGGGATATGGCTGAAGCAAGGTTGAAGGGCCCCATTTGTACATTTTTTTTTTTCATAAATCAGCATTAACTGTAGTAGGTACAGCTTAAAAAGGCTCAACTATAAATAGATGAAGAAAACGCAGAACATTGAGGGGCATTATCAACCCTAGTAACCACAGACTGGATTATTACCCTGATCTGTTTCTCGAAACTAATAAAACCAACAGTACTACTAAGTTTTTCCAACCAATACTGCAATGATACCCACATTCTCAAGCCTTCATGTATCTGCTCACTTATACTTTGCAACTCAAAGGAAATACAAACAAAAGTATGTTTACTACCTAATGACTAGTGACTACATAAGTAGGCTAAATCTGATAACGGAAGACTAAGTGTCAGAAAAAGCAAAGAATCTTCAAATACATGGATGTTGAAGGATGATAAGTTTAAAGGTAATGCAGATACCAATTTTCCCATGACCAACATCAACAGTACAGCCAGATATGCGTCCAACCGCATAAAGCGACAATACTGCCTGCTCAGAGGCATAAAACCCCGAGATGTTGAATGTTTCAAACATCAACTGCACCAATTGTTCCCTAACAGCCTGTTGACACAAAGGCAGCAATATATATATTAAATTACATTTCCATACCAATACACAGAAAAGACACTAACTTGATGTTGTAGTTAAAAACAAAAAAGCCAAATCTAGCATCCAGCACCAATGACTTACTATTTTCTCTATATTTCAAGACTTTTCTTTAACCTCATAAGACGAAGCCAATTACTAATCCCTGAGGATCCTGTTTATGCTTCATAACTAGATATGCCGAATTACAGAAAGCAATGCCACCAAGGACATATTCACTTAGTTGCTATTCCTTTTTCAATTTTAATATTGATGGTTTCTGGACCAGCTTGTGTGCATCTAGACTAATCCATATGTTGCGTCCACAAGCACATGTTTCCAAGGTTATACTAATCATGCCCACCAACCTGGAGGAAATGGGCTTACACTAAAGGTTGTAACTAGGATTTGAAAGTGAGATTTCCAAGCTCTCTCAGTTATTATTCCTAAGCAAAGGAGTAAAGCTTTTCAAGCTGACATTACAGCTCATCCAATATGCAATTCTTCAAATCATTTTCTTGTCATGTGCATTACTAACTACAGTAGTTTGCATACTCAAAACCCATTCACTAATTTCTACGGAAATTTGGTACTATCCCCCCAAAAATAAATAAATTACAGAAATTCTGTAATTCTGAATTTTTTTTTAAGAATATCAAACTCACCTTGGGAGTGCAGAGTGGGTCAGTGAACAAAATTTGACCTTCATTTCCAATTTCCCAACCAAGACCAGAATAAAGAACATGATGCAACAGGTCTTCCATTGCATCCCAATCTTTAACGAAACCTCTCTCAATGGGATCCACAGCCACTTCCTCTTCCTCAAACAAGGAACCTTCATCATCTTCAGGAATGCGTTTCATTTGAGTTGGTATTACCTAAACCATACATTCCCAAATTTACAGTATTAACTATACCATTACCATCTTAAATACACAAAAAATACACAAAGTTCCAATCTTGAAGCTTTTTCCTCGTAAGGTTTTCTTGTTCTTCATTCCCAAAGTTACAAAAGGCATTAACTATATCATTATCATCTTAAAACCCAAAAAAAAAATCACATAAAATTGGGGCAAAATAACAAGTAAATAGCAGAAAGTTTCAATCTTGAAGCTCTTTCCTTATGGTTTATTCTTTTACATTCATTCTCAAAGTTACAGAAAGCCTTAACTACATCATCACCATCTTAAAACCCAAAAAAAAAAAATCACAGAAATTGGAAAAACAAGTAAATACCAGAAAGTTCCAATCTTGAAGCTCTTTTCTTATGGGGTTTTTTGGTACTTCATTCCCAAAGTTACAAAAAGCATACATCATTACCATCTTAAAAATCCACACAAAATTTGAGCAATTAACAAGTAAATAGCAGAAAGTTTCAATCTTGAAGCTCTTTCCTTATGGTTTATTCTTTTACTTCATTCTCAAAGTTACAGAAAGCATTAACTACATCATTACCATCTTAAAAACTCCAAAAATGCACACAAAATTGGAGCAATTAACAAGCAAATAGCAGAAAGTTTCAATCTTGAAGCTCTTTCCTTATGGTTTTTTCTTTTACTTCATTCCCAAAGTTTACCATCTTAAAAACCCAAAAAATCTACACTAGTTTGAAGCAATTAACAAGTAAACAACAGAAAGTTTCAATCTTGAAGCTCTTTCCTTATGGTGTTTTCTTGTACTTCATTCCCAAAGTTACAAAAAGCATTAACTACATCATTACCATCTTACACCCCCACCACCACCACTACCACCACCAACACCACCCCACAAAAAAAAAATACACAAATTGGGGCAAATAAAACAAGTAAATAGCAGAAAGTTCCAATCTCGCAGCTCTTTTCTTATGGGGTATTCTTGAACTTTGTCTATACACAACCAAAATCAAGAAAAGAGTAACAGATACAGTATCACCATTACAAAAAATCCAAAAATAACAAGCAAATAGCAGAAAGCGAAAAAGTTCCAATCTTGAAGCTAAATTCATATGGGTTTTCCTGTACTTCATTCTCAAAGTTACAAAAAACATTAACTACATCATTACCACCATAACACCCCACCCCCACAAAAAAATACACAAATTGAGGCAAAATTAACAAGTAAATAGCAGAAAGTTCCAATCTTGCAGCTCTTTCCATATGGGGTTTTCTTATACTTTGCCTATACACAACCAAATTCAAGAAAAGAGTAACAGATACAGTATAACCATTACAAAGCTCCAAACTTTCACGCAAATTGAGGTAAAATAACTAGAAAACTCCAAATTTGAACCTTTTTTTTTTGGATGGGGTTCCTATTTTACAGTTAAGAAAAGTAAAAAAAAAAAAAAAAAAAAAAAAAATACCATAGCAGGAGTTTGATCTGGAATAGCGAAACCAGCTTTGAGCAATTTAGAACCAGCATCCACTACTACTGCCTCCATTGTTGAAGGCTCTGAGAAATTGTTGTCTCTCTTTCTCTGAGTAAATCAAATTTCAAGAACTGATGAAAGTAAATTGAATTTGCTGCTATTCCCACCTCTTTTATTTTCTTCCCCTTTTCATCTTTTTTACTCTTCATTTTTATATTATATTTTCCAAGAGCTTTTGGTGAGAGTTTTTTTTTTTTTTTTTTTGCGTGTGTTTTGATATGATAGAAATATATATTTGAAAATTTATTATTTATATAAAAATGAATAAATGACCTAAAAGTTTAAACACACTCAAATTACGATTCTTTTGACTAGTTACCTATTTTAATTTTACGGGGATCTTATGACTATAAATTTTGCACGCTCTTGATAAAATACAAAAAAAAAAAAAAATTGTAGGCGGTCACTTATTGGTGTAAAAATTATTTTGTATTGGAATTTATTTGAATTCACGCGCATAAGACCTATGCAAAAGGGAAGCGACTTTTCCATATCCGCACTCATAAAAATGTGTTTGTATCCACTTTATAAGTGTCATTTAACTTGTTTGGTCAATTTTCGAAGGTTAAAAATACCTATTTTTAAAAAGTGAGATATTTTACCAAACTTTAGAAGAAAATAAATGTTTTTAAAGAGTAGAAAGAAACTATTTTCTAGGAGCTAAATAATTTACTAATAATAATGTATTTATTGATTTGATATGAATGTCAAATTCATATACTATAACTTAAAGTTGATTTTAAAAAAATAAAGTAAACATTTTTCATATTTCATATGTAATCACCCATGGGACAAATATAAACAACGTCCCTCCACTCTAGGTCTCGAATTCAAATTTTAGGAACGTAGAAATCTAATAGAAAGTGTTTTCCCCCTTAAAATGTCTTGTGTAGCGTAAATCAGGATCAGACAAATAGAATTTCGAATTTCAAATATCAGATGATTATACAACGAATCATATGTAAAGTTTCCTCAATTTTTTCATGCTTGAGAAGTATCAGCTTATTTACAATAGTTCCAAAAAAACATGTAGCAACTAGGATATAATACGTCGCCTCATTTCACTACCCAAAAAATAATTACAGAGTTTCCATTTACAATTATTTTGGCAGAAGCAAAACTGGATTGCTGCTTATTTACAAGCTGTACACAAAAAAAAATTGTCTTCAGTTCTTCAAAACTGGATTGCCTCGAGAAGAATTCATCGATAAAGCCACATGTTTCTCTGGATAAATAAGACGATACAATGATCGTTATAAGTTTGTTAAAGACTAAAGTATCACGAAACATATCAAGGGAGAGGGGTGTACCAACCTCCTGTCGCGATGAGTTTTTCAACACGAGATACAATGTGTTTCCCATAAGTGTATTTCTTGAGGGCAGTAAGGTGTATTCTAATACGCGAAAGAATAAGTTCACGACTTTGATCATCACATGTCTCAAGAACCTTCTGTACTACATAGTTACCAAATGGATCCTTCATCATAGCCTGCATTGGAAAATTGAAGTGATCATGATTGAAGATCGTTAAGCTTTAACACGATAGATTTTGTATGACGATGAAAATGCTCAAGGAGAGAAAGAAAAAGAGAGGCTTGTGTTATTGTAGAGATGGTGTGTATGCAGAAAAGGGGCATCACGTGTTAGCAGGGTCCGAGAAAGACCAGCACACAAACTATACGTAAGATTGGAACTTATGATCACTCTCTCGATTAAGCCTTTTACCTGTCTTTGAATTGAACATGTCGGTTACCTACAGTTAGAGCTTAGTTTCTATCTGAGAAGCCTATTCTGTGCACTTACCTTGAGTTTCATGCTGAACTTTACTGATAGACGTGGAAGGGAGGAGACAGGGTGATGAGAAAGGAAGAGAAGGGACAGCAATTGTGAATAACAAGTTAAGCAAATATATTTTCCAACCTTGTTATGTGTTTCGATTACTAAACTAAGGATCGAAGTACTACATGGTTCACCAATCCTATTGTCATGACGACTAAGATTTCCATAATAAGAACAAATATGTTATGACTTCTCCTGGAAGTCCTGATTAGCATCCTAGTGTTTGTAGTGATTCATATTGTTGCTACGACGGTCTTTTTAAGACTACGTAATTATCAGGATTTTAAGTGTTTTATAGTTCACGAAGTGAATGTTCATCGCACCAAGTACCCTAAAACAAATGGCAGAAGCACGGATGTAGAACGTTCACTTAACACATGCAAGAATAAGAGATAACATGTAGTTGTTTTTCCGCTTTTCAGCATTTTACCTTTCAAATGCAGAACAGAATGGTGCAAAATCTGTGAAAATAAAGAATAGTAAAAGACCTGTAGAGGCTCATTTTCTTGTGTTGAACCAAGCATTTCGTTCACCAGAATTTGACGCTCCTCTGGAGTTGCAAAAATCAAGCACTTCTCAACGACATTAGAAGCGTACTTGTGCTGACTCATCTTTACAATTTGTCCAGTAAGCTTGCCTATTATATCAGACCTCTCATGTGGTTTACCGTGTTGGAGTACATGCTAGAGAAGTAAGGAGAAGATCGAAATAAGAACCAAGAACAGAAGTGCAGCAACTTATAATACAAAAAATCGAAGAATTCCACATCATCTACTGCAGACGTTTATCAGACTCGGAAATTCAAAAATGAAAGCCAGTACCTTAGTAAACAGCAGCTGCATAAACACCTATTCATCTTTTCAGCAGAAAAACTAAATACTCAGCCAACTAAAGGATATTGCTGAAGATTTCAGGACACATACAATCAGGTAAAGTCGAGCATATCAGACGTTTTAGCAAAGGTGGATACAACTTATAGTCAGAAACCTCTTGTGCCAGTTGTAATCGACGTATTAATTTTTGCCTGAATTTTTATCAGTAGGTGTAGTAAAGAGCTTTGTTCCTGTAACTTAGTGGTCTACATTGCTAAGAGCGTAGTTGATTTAAGCCAGCATTCAAAAAGGCGGTTCCAGGGCAAATGAGAAGTGCCTCGAGACAGTCTTAAGTAATGACGTAAAGTAATGATGACATCAAGATGAAAATGTCTTAAGTTGATTACCTGAATGACATAGTTTCCATACTGATCCAGCACTAGAGTACCGGCAGCCTGCATTATTTCATCCATGATGGTCTTTTGTGTCTCCGGGTTATTGCAGTACTCAAGGACTCGCTGAAAATGAACAGATCCAAAGTGGTTGAGGGAACTCAACACATCAAAACAAAGAATCGAAAAAAAAAAACCATATCAGTGTACCTGAATGACACGGCAGCCATAAGGATGTGTTGATAGAGACACAACATGCCCGAAGAAGGAAGCTACAATAAAGTGAATTCGATCTTGAGGTACATACTCTATGCACTTCTGAATAACATGATTACCGTTCTGATCACGAACACATTTCATCACATAGCCATCTAGTTCTGTAGCCATTTGCTTCTGCAGTTCCACATCAAAGACTTCCAAAGCCTGTGATCATATAATATGTTTCATTCCGTAATCCAGAAAAAAGGGACAAAAGGATGAACTATTAAGCAAGGATATCGTACTCTATCTCTTCGTCTGACTTAACTGTTATAGCGGATAGAGTTCAATTACTTTGATGTGACAAAACATAGTTTTTGACTTTCTTAAACTCCGTGTCAAGTCAAAACCATACAAATAAATTGAAACGAAAGGAGCACTTATTTGTCATCGATCTAGACAAACACATATGAATGCACAAGACATGACTGTGCTCTGAAACTAGATCGAGTTAGTACAGGATAAAGTATAAGGATCAACCTTCTGAATAACTCTGCAACCATACATTTGAAGACTCAGAGGCAAAACATGACCGAGAAGTTGCCTTGCTAGTTCCTTTCTTTGACTCTCCGTTCCATGCTCGAGGAACTGTTTACATTGATTAACAAATGACAATCAATACAAAATTCATCTAAGATGTGTACAGTTTGGAAAGGAAAAAGAAGAAAAAAGAAAAAGATAACGATAGTTTAAACGACTATCAGTACCTTTTGTATGACATAATTCCCAAAGACATCTGTCATTAAACTGTGAGCATGAGGAAGAATTTCTGGGAATATCTTCATCTTTTCTTCGACAGTGGCAGTTTCCAGCTTCTTTTGAATAAATCGACTCCCATACTGATCCTTACTAAGTAATAAAAAAAAGGCAGTAAAGGAAAAAAAGAGATGATATAGCTAAAGTATATACGGAAAAAGCAGCTTAGATGCACCTGAACTCGACAACATGATTGAGAACGTCCAAAAGGTCCAACGACCTGGGGTTGTTCTTGAGATCTTCCAGCAGAGACGGTAAAACACTTCCATCAGCAACGTTCTCCGAATGCCATGAACTTTTAGATTCATCGGTAGAATTTCTCAAGGCAGGAGGAATCTGTGGGAGAGGATCACTCTGATACATAGGACTTCTCGATCCTACTGTCACGTACAATGAATTTGCTATTTTATTCTCTTGGCCTGAGCCAAGAGCATGAATCACATGATACCTATCTGTTAAACAAGAATTACGTATTAAGGACGGGCAATATTGTTGCTTCTGTTGTGGGAGTGATGCATCAGCATACATTGTTCCAAGAACTTTTAAGTCTGTATTGCCATGAGAAGTTGCATATTTCGGCTCACTCCTCAAATGGCGTCCATTCCCATTGACACCATTTAAATGAGAACCTAACACATTTTTCAAACAACATGAGCACAAAAGGCTTTAGGATTCAAAATTTAAATGCACACGATATCACGACTGATCAATAAACCTTACCAAGATTGTTATTCAACACCATCTTCGGATTATATTTGTATCCACCAGGTAAATATCCGGTAGAATCAACAATGTGATTGTTATTGACATGGTGTTGGACTCTAGAGTTTTGACTCACAAACTCAGGACTGAGGTAATCCGTATGTCCATCAAGGTAGAATGTGGAATTATGGTCAGCATAATCAGAAACAGTACCTAAATTTTCAGCTCCATAGTATTCATTTAGTTGATGTTGCACGCCCTGCCTATAACCATTTGATACTCTATTTTGAAGCCAAGTCTGCTGCATATTATCGTCATGTTGAAGGCGAGATAATGAGGCAGTAAGATCAGATACGTCAGCATTGAGGCCTTTTGAGCTAGTTATGTCAATTGAAATCTTG